ACTGTCTCTTTCTGATTCTACATATAAGTATCCTTTTTGTATTCATTTTCTTTGAGATTTCCTCGTTGCTTATTCGCTCCGTACATTTCATTCTAAGCATCCTCCTGTAGAACATTTCTGTTGCCCTTCAACCCCGTTTTCTTAGGCAGATTCTCCACCTTACGCTGACATATAAGAGGATTGATATTAAATCGCAATTTAATACATTTTTCCTTGTTTCGAACGAAATTGTCCTGTTTCTTAATACATCTTTTGTTTTTTTTTTCAATATGTGTTCACAGCACAGTCCGTTCGCCAAAAAGAAACAATTAATTTAAATGTGGAGCAAAAAGTCGATTGGATGTGTTGACATATGTGCTCAAGAAACCTCAACTGTCTCTCCCTGATGATGTAAAGTATAAGTTTTCTTTTTATTTCCATTTTCTCTAAAACTTCGTTGTTGATCACATGTTCGGGCCATGGCATTCTCAGCATCCTTCTGTAGAATTACATTGCTTCAAATCTCTTCTTTTTCTGTGAGAAGATTGCCCAGTATTCACAACCATGTAGAAGGACTGATATTATGCAACAGTTCAGTATTCTTTTCTGTGTTTCTAACGAAATTATTCTGTTTCTTAATACTCTGCTTAGCTTTTGGAAGGCAACTTTGGTCATCCCAGTGCGCCATCGGATTTCAGTGTCACACTTTCCGTCCTCTGTTAAAACACTTCCCAGGCATTTAAATTGTTGTAGTTGTTGAATTTTCGAATCCCCAATATGTAATCTGCATCTTGGGTTACCTGTTTTCCTCTTCTTGCAATTAATATTCCTTTCTTCTCGCTTTCCTTCACTACCTTTTTTGCCTGAATTCTTATGTTTTTATGATTGTGGCCAACAATAATGAATCTTAGTAGAACTTCTCAGAATCACCTCACGGTATAGGTTGTATTAGTTCAGTGAGAAGACACATCATAATCTTACACATTTTTTTTTGTTCTGTATATTTGCTGAAATTCATTTTCTATCCGTAGGCAGGCGTTTTGTTGCCATTATAAATTCTGGATGATTCTAATATCCTTCCAAAATATGTCAAGGTTAACGAGCAGTTTTAACAGTTCTTTTGTATAATCTATAAAACATAGGTATATATCCGTTTGCATTTGTATTACTCTTTCTGATATCATTCTGAACATAAATATTGCATTCCTTGTTCAAGTGTCTTTAACGAACGCGCACTGTTCTTGTCTTATTTTCGGTCTGATTGTGCTATCCGCTGTTTTCATAAGAATTCGGATGATGAGTTTTTTCATTAGGCTGATTATCCGATGGAGTTCACATTCGTTTACACCTGGCTTTTTAAGCAGTGCTATGAAAATGGATCTTCTTAGGTCTTCTGGTATATCAACATTGTTGTAGATGTTATTTATTATTTCTGTAATCTTGTCAATGCCGAAATCATCTGAAACTGCCATCATTTCTATTACAATTCCATTTGGTCACGGTTCTTTGTCTCTGTTCAATTTAGTCAATGATTTTAATATTTCTGGTCCTTCGATATTTCTGTGTATTCCCTGTTGTTTGTCCTCTTTCATCGTGAAAGAGTTCTCCAATATATTCATTCGATCTCTGTATATATTTTCTCTAATATCAGTGCTTCGTCTTTGGATTTTATGCATCCTGTTGATGAGTATGTCTTTTGTCCTGTTAGCTCTTTTATTTTTATGCATATTTCCTTTATCTGCGATACTCATTCTTTCTATTTCTGAACATTTTTCGTTGAGTCATTCCTCTTTAGCCTGCCTGCATTTGTTACCAACTTCTTTGAGCAGAGTCCTATATTCTATTTCGTACCTTGGAGTAGATTTTGTCTCCTTTCATCTTTCGTAGTAGTAATATTAGTATCTGGAAATTTTATTAGATGACGACTTGTCTATCATTATTCAATTTTGTTTAGGCTGTCATAAAGAAGCTGAAGAATTTAGTATCGATTAAGACAATCATTACAATGTAAAATAAGAAGATATAAATGTGTTGATGGCAAACATAGAAAGAAAAATACAGAAATTCCTAAACAAGATTTTTTATACTAATGTTTACCCAATACAAGTCCCAAGAGCCACTCAATGTAGAGAGTTACTGCGTGGTGTTACGCGAGTGTAAGAAAGGGAAAGAAGTGAAATTCATGGGTCTATGCAGGAAATATATCGCTTAACCCTAGACTTGAAGCGATTAAGGTGGTAGTGATTAGGAAAACTTCCTACAGGGAGTCTGTTCCACAAAACAGCAGTTCTTGAAAAGAAGCTGTCCGAATGGAACTTCCTCCTTATTAATGGAATACGAAAGTAAAGCAAGCAGAAAGAACCAAAAATTAATTATAAAAAGACAATGATTGTTAGCAAGATAAGACAAAGATACGAACTACGAATTAGAAATATCGAAATCAAACAGGTACTGAGGTTTCTGAACAGGAGAAAATGTGACACCGAAATCCGAAGGTATATACTAATAACGAAAGATGCTTTCCAAAAACAAAGTACTAAGAAAGAGGAACATTTCGTTAGAAACAACGAAGAGTGCTGAACTGCTATGTAATATCAATCGTTTTTAAGAGCAGCAAATGCTGGAAAACTTCCTCACAAAATGAAAAGAAGACTTGAGGCAATAGAAATACAGCTCTACAGAAGGATGTTGAGAATACCGTGTACCTAACGTGTAAATAAGGAAGGAAGAAACCCCAAGAAAAACGGTAACAAAAGAGACAATTTTATAAAATCCTTTCACTCCAAGAAAAAGTCAATTCAACCCACTGAGATGGAAGAGGGTGGAAAGAGTGAAAGAAGCCTAGAAAAACACGACGAGAAAGAAAAACTAATAAAAGGAAATCGGAAGAGAATTCCACAAGCGAGAACTTATGGAACTTATGGTTACAACTAGCAATTTTAACAGTGAAATTATGAGACCTATCTGCCAATCTAGTACTGAACTAAAATTCGTAAATCATGATACTAAATAGAAAAGCAGCGCAATTACCTCGAGAATATTTACCAACAAGCCACAAGGGAAGCTACGTTATGACGGTGCGAATTTAACTGAAGCCGTAGTGCCAGGTCAGGACTAGTAACATTGCAGATTCTGTCAAGAATATCTAGGTATATATCAGAAATACATGACCAGATATTGAAACAATATTCCATGCATAGAATCAGAAAGAGAAAGCGGAAATTTCTGGGATACATAACGGGGAAAGAAGGCTTGGAAACTTTGGTACTCACAGCGCATATGGAAAGCAAAATGGACAAGGGGGACAGCTTCAATTTCACTTGCTTTACGTAGCTACTACACACTCTCGTCTTATTTTACCGTTAGATAAAACACACTTTTAATCATTATTAATTTTTGACTGCTATTTCTTTCATCAATTATTCACGCATTCTGTAAAAAGACCGGATGAAAAAATAATCTTTCAGTGAGATTCGAACTCAAACCTTTTATGTGTACAGGCAAAAGAGATACGAGTTCTGCCGAGAGCTTATTCTTTATTTCGGATCCACACTGTTTAATAATGGCCATACAATGACAATCTCTTGCATATATGCACAATGAAACATAAAAATATATTATCCAGAATGTGAGAGGTTATAAAAATAACAAAAATGGGGATACTAGTACGGATAATTATTAAAATAAGGAATTCATTTCAAAACGAAAAGAAGGCTGAAACGTAATGATAAAAATAACAAAGAGGAAAATACTAACCTGCTGGAATAAGGAATTCTTCATTTTAACATTTCATATAATAAATTGATGATTTATAAACGAATGAAGAAAACAAACATACGATATTTTTTTTTTGTATTTTTAATGCTTTATTTAAAGAGGCTGAACCAAACCAATCATATTTAGCCTTCATTTTAAAAAGCCTTTGAAAAGATTTACAAAGACTATAGCTAATTTTGATTAAGACGTACTGCTTTGTAGACAAGATTTCTTTTATGACTATGCTTCGTAAATCAGCAAATGGTTTTACACGGTTTTATGAATTACATTTATGTTTTAATCATATTTTTTAAAGTTCATCTTTTTTTTTATTTTCACCTTTCATAAAAGACTTAGAACAATACAACTAAACAGCGAATGCGCTAATTTTTCAAATGAAGACGACCCTCCTTGAAAAGCAGCATTCGAAAACCATACTTTTACACAGGCTCGAACACCGAATGGACATAGGCAAGGATCTCAGCGAGCAAACAGTTCTGGATTTATTTGTCTGAATTCAATCAAACCGTTTTCACTCATAATTTTCAAGAATTAGAATAAGTTTTTAAATTTTTTTTTTTTTTTAGAAAGCCAAGATTTGGGATAGAAATATTACACCATATCCCAAAGTAAATAATGAAACAAACAAAAAAAAAAAAAAATAGCTGTATCTTTTCGTTAATGTTCGATCATCTTCGTAAGTGAGAAATGGCACCGATGAATGGGTCTACAACTATTGAGACCAGCAAAAATAAATAGCGTGTCGTTTTTAGTCAATGAGAATGGAAGACAGACGGTTTTTACGAGGGACAAAGATGAAGAAAACAATTCAGGGGTAGAAAAAGCAATGCTTTATAAGAAGATATATATATATATATTGTATTTTTCATTCGATTAGAGTGAAATTCAAGGGAAGGAAAGTGAAGAAGGGCAAAAAGGAGAGAAGAAGGAATAAAGAAAAGAAGAAAATACAGAAAAGCCATTGGAGAAAGAAAAAGAAAGAAAGAAAGAAAGAAAGAAAGAAAGAAAGAAAGAACGAAATATATAATTGAAAAAGATAGAAACAAGAAAGAAGAGAAAAAGATTGATATATGAAGAAAGAAAGAAAGAAAGAAAATGCAAATAATAATTCAAAAGAAAGAAAGAAAGAAAGAAAGAATGAAAGAAAGAAAGAAAGAAAGAATACAAATAATGATTCAGGAGAAAGAAAGAAAGAAAGAAAGAAAGAAAGAAAGAAAGAACGAACGAAATATATAATTGAAAAAGATAGAAACAAGAAAGAAGAGAAAAAGATTGATATATGAAGAAAAAAGAAAGAAAGAAAGAAAGAAAGAAAGAAACTGTAAATGAGAATTGAGGGGAAAGAAATAAAGAAAGAAAAAAACAAACAAAATCCAAATAAGGGTTCGAAGAAAGAAAGAATGAAAGAAAGAAAGAAAGAAAGTTGAGAAGCATGAAGATGGCAAAGAGAATTACTGCATTAATAGGATAACTGGAAAAAAGAGAGTGAAAAAGAAAGACAAGAAAACAAAAACACAATCTGAAAAATCATGAAAAGAAAGAGAGAACGCGAAGAAAGAAAGGAGTAAATGCAAAGAAAATGAAAAAGAAATGTTCCTAAAGAGAAGTCGACACGAGCAGTATGGCGTCAGAAATCATCAGCGTGAGAAGAGCCCGTGCGAGATGATCGGAAGTTGGAACGAGAGGTCAGTACAGGGAGAAGAGTTGTTGTGACTCTTTTCAAAATTCTCGCTGCCCGCTCGGCCCCGCGGCGGAAGACGCCTCTCTAGCGGACGCCATTAAGACCCGTCCGCAGATAAATCCTCGCACGGCGCACACGGCGACCCCTTGCGGCGTTGCTAGATAATAACATTCAGTGCAGCACGAATTCATTCATTCTATTAACGCCTTCACGAAATTACTGGTTCCCGCTTCGGGAGACGGTTGGGTTGACGGGGAAGCGGCGGAAATTGGAGGCCAAGGGAGAGGAGTAAAACGAAGAGCATCGTAGGTGGAGGGGGGATGGGATAGAATTGGAGAGAGGAAGGAAGGGTTGCAGGAAGGGAGAGTTAAGTGAATTTTACAGCATTTTGTTTCCTTCTTTTTTTACTGTTTTTTAATTTCTTTTTTCTTTTCACTGCCATCCTTCTCATTTTTTTTTTCACTTGCATTCGCCATGTTTTTACACTCTTTCTGTCTTCTTGCTCTAATAAAGAAATTTGGATTCGACGATTTTTTTTATTTTGGTGTTTCACCGTTAACTACACTTTCATTGATTTACATATCCCTCTTACGTTCTTTTTTATCTATTATTTATTGCTACACAATCTTTTTAGTTTTATTTTTTCTTTTCCTTCCAAATTTAATTATTTCTTTTTTTCTTTTATCCTTTTGTTTTTTTTTGGGGGGTTTTTTTTTATCAAAACCGATTCCTTTCTTATTCTCTTTCCTTGCTCATTTCACTAAGTTTAAACTTATTTTTTTCTTTTCGGCAATAATTATCTTTTATTCGTTTTTTTCTTTTTCTTTCTTCTTTTTCGTTCACGCTTCTTTCTTTCATTCAAAATCTTTCCTTTTTTTTTTCTATATTTCTTTTCAATACCACTATCCTTTTCTTTCATTTGTTTTTCATCTTATCTTTCTCATTTCTTTTCCTTTCTTTCATTTTTCTTTTCTTCTTCTATTCAAAATTATTCTCCCTGTATTCATTCCCAGTTTTTGTCGAATAATTTGACTTACATTCTTCATTCGCATACTTTCATTCGTAAACGATTTTTATTATTCATTCTTTCTTTTTCCTTTTCCTTCTTTCTTTTTCTTCCTTTTTCTTCTTCCTTTTATGCTTTCATTTGATCGTTCACTTATTTTCCATTCTTCGTCTTCATATTTCTTGTTTGTTGTCTTGGAATGTTAAATTTCTCAGTCATTTCCTCCCAACAACAGAATATAACGCACACGCGCGCGCGCGCACACACACACATATATATATATATATATATTCACTGAATTTGTTAATTTCTCTATGTTGCTCTCTATTAATTTATATCAGTGTTTCCATGGTAAGTCTGACTCCATCTCTTCCGATATATATTAAATTTGTCGTCATCCTCATCCTCGCTTTCTAACCCCGCCTCTCTCTCATTCTCTTTATATATATATATATCTGTGTATGTGTGTGTGTGCACGATGCAATGAGTAAAATGAGTAAAATGCACAGTATAATAGGGTCGTTTAAACACCGTCTTTGAGAAAAAGATCACCATGACGCAATTCACTTCGCCAGAAATTTAGAAACGGCATGCTGTACTGGTTGGAATTCGCGCCGGAAGTGTCTGAGTGTCAATTTGAAGGAAGTGCAGAGAATTCGGAAAGAGTTCGTTGAGTCTAATGACGATTACGAAGCTACGGAATCTCGGAAAACTCACTCTGATAGTTCTGATAAGAAAAGTGTATAAAGACGTTGGTTAGATCCAGTGACTAGACCCAAACAATTGTAAGTTCAATACCAGGCCACAACAGTGGTGAACCAAAACTTGGACAGTTGAGTTAAAGGGAAATAACTGAGACATCCGGGAGAGGCATGGCACGTGGAACAAGAACAATCTATGCCGATATCTAACCAACTGGGCCATGTGTTCTTGGCTAGAGCAACCAGACCACAGCAGTGGTGAACCAAAACTCAGAGAGTTGAGTTAAAGGAAAATGACAGAGACATACGGAAGAGGCATGGCACGTGGAATTAGAACAGTCTACCGCCCTGGGCGAAATAAAGGGTTCATTTGGAAATTCCAGTCATATGAAGAAGTCCGGAGCGTACAACGACCGAAACGTTGTGAATATGACAGTGAAGATGAGGATAACACTCCGAGTAATGTAAATAATGCAAGTTGATCAGAACATTCGAGAATTTCTGTTTCCTTAGATTCCCAATCTTCCTGACCAAAGCTAATCCGAAGATGTCACTAGTTGCCAGCATTCTCACATTTACGCAACCACACGAACATTTAGCTACAAACATTAACCAATGCCAACTTTTAAACCAGCCATAAATACACTGACACAATTATATACAAACATGCAAATATATATATATATATATATATATATATATGAGGTAATGGATAGCGGCTCGGATTGAGGAATCGGAGAGCCGAGTTTGAATCCATTACATTCACTTACGTGCTAATACCCTTGGGAAAGGTGTAAATCCTCTTCTCCTTCCAGCCCGAGCAGTCCTACTTCTCCATATATCCCACCGAGGCTCGTAGCGCACCGCGCTACTCCATCGTCTCTCGAGACGGACGGATGCCGACGACGACCATATATATATATATATATATATATATATATATATATATATATATATATATATATATATATATGTACTTCCCACCCTCTGGGTATATATCTGTATCAAGATCAGTTTATACAAATTATAAAGAAAAATCAATTTTTCGATATTTTTACTCGGTAATTTCGGGCGTACCAACATATAAGCATACATACATACACACACGCACAAGCACACATACACGCTTATTTTCTTATATTTTGAAAATAGGCAGGAATGTGTTTTTAGATGTTGTGCAATGGAACATACATGCAACAGATGAAGTGTAAAACATTTTGATAATGTTGTCATCGTCAATCTAACATATATACTTACTTGTCGACATAAACACTACGAAAATAAACAAAAACTTAAAATTCTCGAGGTCCTCAACATAAAAATCAATTAACCAACGCTGAACAGAATTTATTACGAATATAACAACAACACACTAAAATGGATATAAAATTTAATACCATTTCACATTTCTACCAATTCCATAACTACAACGGATAAATTTACAATAACTGTCACAGATCACATTTGCGAGTGTTTTTAAAAATAACTACCAAAACGGAATACCGATTTTGTCGCGGTTAAAATAAATTTGCCTTTGTTATTTACCCCTGAAGATGATCATAGCATAGATCGAAAGTACTTGGGTTAAAAAAAAAAAACTACGGTGCCTACCTCAATTAATTTCATCTCAACATCAAGAAGCTCATTAAACAACTGGAAAGGATCGGCATAAAGATACACAATATGTCTATATTATTCAATGAAAAATATTTGATATATATATATATATATATATATATATATATATATATATATATATATATATATATGAGACATGCTATACTTATGGGTAAAAAGTGCTCAATATCTAGGATAGAGCGTGTAAATAAAGTACCGCGCATATAATATATATATATATATATATATATATATATATATATATATATATATATATATATATATATATATATATATTTATATACACACACTTTTCACACACACACACACACACACACACACACACACACACACACACACACACACACATATATATATATATATATATATATATATATATATATATATATATATATATATATTATAGTAAAAAGGAAGAACAGTAAGATATGTAATCCGGTGTTCTTATTGATATTTTTATTTTTACAAAACTGTGTTCATAGTAAATTTACAGAGCATAAATATTATAAATTAACTGATTTAAAAATATTATTTCATCGCTACACAGGAATCACCATGTTTCAAAAAACAGAAAACAAAAACTTCAAATTCAATTATATTAAAATTATAAGTTATTCCAAAATTCGCTTGAAGATGAAACAGAACTAATGCTTTTAATTTAATATAAATGAATTTGATGTTTTTGTTTTGTTTTTGAAACATGGTAATTCCTGTGTAGCGATGAAACCCTATTTTTAAATCAGTTAATTTATAATATATATATATATGTATGTGAGGGTGTGTATGTGTGTGTGTTTTATGGATAAAAGAAAATTATCGGTTTTCTTTCACTATATGTACGACGTGTGGCTGATAAATTATTGGCCAACCAAGAAAGTCTTTCGAAAAATTTTGGTCATTTTGAGCATTTGGTCAGATTTACGGAAATTGGTCGGCTCGAGGACCTTTCAGCACGTCTAATATATATATATATATATATATATATATATATATATATATATATATATTTTGCAGATATATTTTTATTTATATCTTAATTTTTACAAGTACATACACACATATATTTTGTTCTGTCTGCTGACTTTTTTTTTCATAATTTCATCACAAGCAAGGCAACAAAGCCACTAAGACGCAGGAGGTGGACAGTTTACTGCGTGTGAAAGAATATAAGAAAACCTTATTAAGGAGCGATGAGAGACAGATGATAGTGATTGAAATGGCATTCATATTTTTGAAGATCAAAAGGCAAGGAAACGGAAAGGTGTTCCACAAGCGAGAAGCGCGAGAGAAGAAACTGTTAGCATAGAACTTACGGCTATATCTAGCCATTTCCACTGTAAAATGATGGGATCTTGCAGCCAATCTTGGACTGCGCTTGAATTCATAGAATCTAGGAACTATAGAGGAGACTTCATCAGAATATTTTCCATGAAAGTATTTATAGAAAAGACACAGAGAAGCTACGTTAAGGCGGTGGGAATATGACTGAAGCCGATATGCCAGGTCAGGACTAATGCCATTGCAGATTCTTCTTTGGATTTTATCAAGAATTTTTAAATATATAGTAGTAGCATCAGATGACGGTACTCGGACATTTATCCGGCGGACATTTATCCGGCGGACATTTGGCCGACGGACATTTAGCCGAATGGATATTTAGCCGAAAATATAGTGGCGTACTTACATATGTGTCACACTCTTTATCGTAATGTGCTACATATATTTATATTTATTTACTGTATTAATTCATAATTTTTGGGTTTTTTACAGGCTTTTTGTAAAATCTATTCTGTTTATATTATATTTTACTTCAAATATCACTGTAAGATGATAAGCATTTTGAGAAAAAGTAGATTTTACTACAGAAAAAAATCTTAAGCTTTTAAGATATGAAAGATTTTTCAGTTTTAATGATCATTACCTTAAGGGGATGAACTAGCTTTTATCTTACTGTTAAAT